GGGTTTCACATGGATAAACCTATGAGACTGTATTGTGACAACCAAGCTGCACTCCATATCTCATCCAATCCTGTATTTCATGAGAGAATAAAGCACATAGAGGTTGATTGCCACTTTGTGAGGGAGAAGGTCCTTGCTGGAGAGATAAACACAAAACATGTGGGCTCGAATGATCAATGGGCAGATTTGTTTACAGAAGCTCTAAGCTCAGGGAAAGTGAACTATCTATGTAATAAGCTGGGATTATATGACATATGTTCTCTAGCTTGAGGGGGAGTGTTAAAGTGAGCCAAATAGGGGTAGTTTAGTCATCTCATGTTTGTTAAGTACCTTGCTTATGTGGTAGTTTTATTAGAGATACTCTGCCCCACACTTAAGTAAGGGCAGTTTAGTCTTTGTAAATGTTATTAGAACCTAATATACATTAGGGGGTCGAATGAATAGTGAATTAATCAGTTTCGACTAAACCCTCCTGTTCTCTCTTTCTCTTTTTTTCTTCTTCATCTTCTTCTTCCTTCTCTCCTGGTTCGGGTTACTGTAGCTGCATTCGAAACAAAGGGAAACCTTTTTTTTTAATCTTTTGCATTTACGGAATCTTCTTTTACTGAAAAATTTTTATGCTATTTTGAAAGTTTTCATAAAATTTCCCATGACATTTTCTTATTGGTCCAACTATTCTTGATAATTATACACATTTTGCATATGAAAGACTTGACAACTAATATTAACAACTTAAAAACTCCTAGACCTTGAAAGTTGACCAGGAGTAGATAATAGGTTGTTCTTTCTTTTTCCTTTTCTTCCCTTATTAACATCTTAAAAACTCCCAGCCTGAAGCTTTATCTTTGCCACCTTAAATATGTCTAATAATGAATAGCTTTGATACCTTTTAACCTAATGCTAATTTTTCATGATGCATTGAAGTTAAAAGAATGGAATAGTGATAGATAAACACAGATAAAACAACTTGCTATCTTGGTTTTACCTATTGAGAAGTTAACACTTCAAAGTTTAACATTGTTCTTTACATGGTCTTTATTTGAGGAGATTCTATCAGATATACTTTTCTTTACCTACTCTGGTTTTATGGTTAAATGCAGATACAGTAATTTTCTGTATATAATGATATCCTGTATCTATATCATGAATTTGGCTAAGCATTCATTCATATACCTGTGTAACCTAGTTGTTGCATTGTCATAGGAGAGGATTCGAGTTGGTAAGGAGCTCCTCGAGGCAAAGAGAATTGAGGAAGAAAATGAAAGAAAACGGTTTGCCTTTGGAAGATACTTTTATTTGCATTACTTTTTGATCTTTCCCATTCCTTGTTTTCAGTTTCAACATTTACTCCTGTAACCCTGTTATTTTAGTTTGCAAACTTCTCCCTTTGAATGGAATATTCATCCTTTGCTCTTGTAGCATGTTGGCCTTGCGAAAAGCAGAGAAAGAGGAAGAGAAGAGAGCAAGGGAGAAAATCCGTCAGAAGCTTGAGGAAGATAAGGTCACTATTTAATTTTTCCACCAATTCTATGTTGAAATTGCAGTCATCAAATGATATGCATTTTGATTGGTAGTAGCTTTTTTTATCAGAAAAAGAAAAGTTTGTTAAAATACGAGGAAAGTTTAGTACAATAGCTTTACACTAAGCTTAAAAAAGTTGATATCTATTAACCCCTTGTTTTGCTAAAGAATCCATGACCCCATTAGCTGTTCTTCTAACCTAATTATAGGAGGTATTCAACTCCCTTGAGACATTCTATTTCCCTGCAAACATGCCTATAAATCCAAGGGACTTTGCACAAGCCTTTTGCCCAAGTGTTATCAGCTTTGAGTCCCTGTCTACTTCAAAGAAATTGAAACCAGAGTGCTTTTCTAGTCTTACACCTTGTAGTAGGGCCATCAATTCAGCTTTCAGAGAGTCCCACTCCCGTAGGTTCTGAGTACATGGCCAACACCCTTTTTTTGATAAATGAGTAATATTTTGTTAAGCATAGAAGAAGTGTATAATCAGCCTCAGAGGAGGCACACAATGTTACCTCCCCTTAGAATTAAGGAAATAAGCACACTCTTGCCTGAATTACAATTATAAGGTAGCCCAAACAGATCACCCCTTGATACCCCTTGTTTAGCCAAAGAATCAGCCATGGCATTTGTTGATCTGCTGACCCAATAAAAACTGACATATTCCTTGTAAGCCAATTAACTTTCTTCAGAAGATCCCTGTACCCCAAAAGACTGTTTCTGTGTTCGACAGCCAGCCCACTACCACCTTGGAGTCCCCTTCAACTAACAAGTTCTCCACTCCAATTTGATTAGCAACTTGTATTCCTTGTACACTGCTAGTATCTCATCCCTTGTAGGGTCACCAATTTCCACTGGTCCTAAGAATAAAGATATGATGTTGCTATCTTTATCTCTCAAAATTCAGTTTTACCACTCTTTCCAGAGGAGGCTTCCATTCTGCTTGTAGACTGTTCTTTGTGGAGGGTGCAGATGCCATTGCTGCCCAATTTCTCCTTAAATCATCAAAAGAATTATTCACAAACAGGTCTGAAGTTTTCAACCAAAAGGTTGTCCTTGTCATGATACACTCTTTTACCTCATCAAGGCTTCTTTCCTTTTCTTGGAATATTCTAGCATTCCTCTCCTCCCAAATTGTCCACAAACTAGTTACCCTAATACACTTCCACATTAAATTCCCTCCTTTTGTCAGCTGCCCAAACTCCAAAGGCAAATGGCTCAAAAAGCAGCTGTACTTCAGAAGGAAAGTTCCACCTACACCCAAATAACATTAAAACCCAATTCTAAATATTGGCAGCAAAAGAACAAGATATCAGCAAATGATGACAGTCTTCACCCTTCACTTTACACAAGATACACCAGTTTGGGGACAAACACAAATAAGGTTTCCTCTTTTGCATGTTTTCCAAAGTATTGATCTTACCATAATAGGGTTACCAACAGAAAACAAATATTTTAGGAGGAATTGGCCTTGACCAGATTTCTTTAATAGGGAACACCTAAGAGGAAGGGGTGGAACATAAGGATTTAAAAAAAGAGGCACAAGTGAAGGAGCCACTCTGAGTCAAAGTCCAAATCCTTTTATCAGGTCTAGGTGGGGTCCAAACACATAGAGTCTAAAAGAAGCAAAAGCTCAAAAACACAAGCAGATTCATCATCCCTTAAACCTCTATAAAACCCAAAGTCCCAATTTAAAGTCAATGGGAGAGCTGGGTGGGGGGGGGGAGAGGAACCTTGAGAAATTTCTTTTTAAAGAGGGAAATAGAATAAAGCGAAGGGAATCATTCTTTTAGAGGTTGAGTGCCCACCCAAACATCTTCCCAAAAGAGGACTGAATTTATAGAGCATACATCATACCTTACAAACCTAAGGAATTTAGGGAGTGTACAAAAAATTGCCTTCCTGTTGGGGTGGCTGGTTCTACTTCTATTTTATTAATTAAAGTTACCATTTCCAATAAAAAACCACTAGAACACAAATAGATTAGTTACACTTGAAGCCTTGAAGCTTTTGTCAAGGAACTTCATTTTAAAATGTTTTTTTTTTTTTTTCAAAATATCAGGATGCTCAACAATCCAGTCAATTTTAAATTTACCTTTCTGCATGGCTGGGTTTGATATGGTATCCATGGGGAGTAGTAATATCCCTCAAATTCTTTGATATTTCCGAGCTTTTATAGCTTATGCAAAGATTTAATTGTATCTTTTTCAAGTCCCTAATATTTTGTTGTTTTCCTTTTGGGAAAGGTAAATTCATATGCTCATATGTAGTTAACTTTTTAAACAAGAAGAGTTGTTTTTCTTTTACATCTTTTTGCATTTTCTTGTGTATAGGTATAATTTTTAGTTGGAATTCAGTTTCACCTTTTTGAGTTCAGATACATTTTTTTTTTGATTTGTTAGGACTTTGATTGCAGTTTTTATCTAATTGTATTTCTATGCATTTACAGGCAGAAAGAAGGCGTAAGCTTGGATTGCCACCAGAAGACCCAGTAGATGCTAAACCTGCAACACCTGTTGTGGAGGAAAAAAAGGTCTGAATAATTTCCATCAATTAAATATTCTTCCTTATTATGCAATATTTAGCTTGACATTTGTTTTGACACAAACTATTGTATTTAAATGACAGAGTTTCTTACCTGTTAAGCCTGCTACAAAAGCAGAGCGAATGAGAGACTGTCTACGATCTCTGAAGCAGAATCACAAGGTAAATACTAAATATTGAAAATGAACTTTTTTTTTTGAATCACATTATTGAAAATGAACTTGGGATGGGAATCAATATCTACTATTTTAGTCTTCTATTGATGGTCACTAAAAGTTACTTATCTGTAGTGAACCAAAGACCCCTTAACAATTTATAAAATTTCATCAATAAATTCCATGTTTTTATTGTTTTTTCATGATAAAATATTTTCTTAGAAGGCAAATAAAATTATAAAATCATTTCTTTGTGTGTAGGAATTAAGAATTTAAGACCCTAACATGGACTTGTTTGGGCTTGCCTCAAGGGGCTTGGTACAAAGGTGGCTTGTAGAATCAGGAATGCAAAATGTTTTACATCACAATAGCTATTTGAAGTAATGCAATTGATAAAAAATGGTTATTGATAAAAAAAAAAAGAGATTGGGGGTTTTACATGCTTGAATATGTTTTGTATGTTTGATTTTATTTTTAAATTTTCATTTGAATTTGTTTTACATGTTATGTTTATGTGTTTTGGTTTTAGATAATAGCTTTTTTTTAAACATTTATATTGAAATTTAAAGTATACTTTTAATTAATATTATGTTTATTATTTTTATTTTTTATTATTTATTAATTTTTGATTTTTTTTTGTATTTTTGTTCCTTGCTTTGAAAAGGTGTGCACTTGCCTTGTGCCTTGGGCACAAAATGCTTCTTGTGCATTTTTCTTTTGCACCTTGTGCTTTTAAAACACTGACTTTAGTTTTTCTTCCTTTTGCTGTACTTACATTTTGTTATACTTAGTTGTGATGGCTTCATGTTGAGTATTCCCTCCATTTGGGCCAATTTTCAATGTAGGGTTTCTATTATTTTTCCTTGTAAATAAATCCTCTTGATTATTGTTAGTGAAACAAATGTGTAGCAAGAAGCTGAGAGGGAATGCAATAGGGTAAAATACAAAAACCTCCCCTAAAGTTTCTGACAATCATAAAAACCTCCCCTATAGTTTTATTTTAGCAAAAACTTCCCCTCTATTTTTGAAAAATTCAACAAATACCTCCCTTYCATCAATGACCAAGATGGAAAATGTTAAATAGATGATATTTTTTTTTTAAAAATACCTATTTTACCCTTTTACAAATTAATGTATATCTATTAAAATAACTTTGTCTCAGCAACTCCATAATCTGCTCTAATGTTCATCTTCTTCCTCCCGATGCACAACGGTGGCAGTGCACTCTCCCTCCAGAAGGTTGCATCGATAGACCTCTCCATTAAGGCCATGCATCGGAGGGCTGACTTTCAGCGCGAGAACCCTCTCCCTAAATCTAATAAACCAAAATTTCTAACACAAGTACATATAGAGTTCTATAGTCCATACTATAAACCACGAATACCTGACTGCTTTATCTCATTGCTTGCACTACATACACTTTCGGTCCCATGTTCCAAATATGGTTCTTCACTAGTTTCTCCCTCAAAATGTCTTTCCTCACTTTTTCCACTAATGGTGATGTTATCATCTCTGTTTAGTTTCTCTTCCGCAATGCCCATGGCTTATTTTCTGTTCTTTCTATGTTTTTTCCTTTTGTCTGTACCTATAGACCTGCGAACGAGGAAATATTATTTCATAGGACCTAGAACTTTTTTCTTGAGGTCATCCTTTTAACATAAGAACAAAAATAAAAAACCCTAAAAAGACTGAAGGCCCTCAGGCGAAATACCTCCCTATCGAAGGCTTATCAAAGAAGGATTTCAATGAGTTACAGACTTCCAGGGTTCTCCTTTTCCGACTAAAAGACGTAATAGACAACTTTTTGTGGCTTCGGTTACAGTCTTGCAGAGATGTAGAACGGAAATCTCTGTGTAAAAACATCGTGCTCCTTCACGACAAAACGAACGCAAATTTGAGGAGGAACTATTATTTGAATATTTCTCTTTTAAAAGGTGACGTCTCCGATGTATGGTCTTAAATGTTGGTGAAACGTGATATTTTTGGAATCTCGGTTTCGGACATTCTGCGCTGTGCGTCATGAGGAAGAAGATGAACAGTGCAAGTAGATTATGGAGTTGCTGAGACGACTATTTTTATAGTAGATGTACATTAATTCATAAAGGGTAAAATAGGTATTTTTAAAAAATATCATATCTTTAACGTTTTTCGTTAAGGTCATTGATGGAATGGAGGTATTTGTTGAATTTTTCAAAAATAGAGGGGAGGTTTTTGCTAAAGTGAAACTATAGGGGAGGTTTTTATATTTTATCCAATGCGATAAGTGCATGCCAAATGTAATACTAGGAAAGGTAGGACCCACTAAGCAGGTCATTTGTCTGCTAGTGTTTGGACTATTTGTACCATATAAGAACATAAAATTATCATAAGATACAAAACTAAGGCCTTGTTTGGTGGTACTTCGTGCTTTTGTACTTTCAATAGCACAAAAGTACAAAGTATGTGGTATAGTTTTGATTTTGTACTTTTATTTCAAAAACCGTTTTGATGGAAATTTTTCAAAAAAATGTTTTTCAAAGTAAAAGTAAATGATGGTGTTTGGATACAACAAAATGTTTTATACTTACGTTTGCCATGTGGCATCATCTATGGATGCCATATGGCATTTGAATGTAAGTCAATGATATGTATGTGGCATTTAAATGTAAGTCAATAATATGTGGATGTCATGTGGCATCATATATGAATGCTATGTGGCATTTGAAAGTAAGTCAATGATATTACCAATGTTTTTTTAAACACGGAGGTGTGACGCGAGATGTTCCACTACCTAGAGGCTTGAGGTGTAGTTTAGAACGTAAGAGGCGTAAGCCTCCTTAAGAGGAGGGGGGGTGGGATGAAGAGGAAGGAGAAGGAAGGGGAGGAGGAAGAAGAGGGAGGATCTCATTTTTCTTTATTTTTAATAAAAATCTTTTATATTAAGAAGAATGAAGATGCATAATACTAGTTGAAAGGGGGGTCTTGGCGAAGCCCCCCAACCCCCCCTAACACAAAATAACCAAATTGAGTTGCATTAAAAAGGGGGGCTAGGGGGGGTGAACTGAAGGGATGAGAGATCCATCGTATGGATGCTAAAATCTTGTGGAATAAAGGGGCGAATTTCAAAAATTTTTTTCTCCCTTTCAACTGGGAATTGTATTCCCTATTTAGAAAATCATATTTTCAAGGATCAATCTTAAACCATAAACTGAACCAGATCTGAACAAAAAAGTAGGAGAGGATTATACTTGATACGGAGAAAAAGTATCTCCTAACGAAGGTGTTCACGCCCAAGGAAGGATCCAAAGACTGCTCCCACTGAAGATGACGTAGTGCAGGATGGAGCAGAATCAACAGTATTATTCTCCAAGAATTCTGTCCTTCGCAAGAAACAACAGGATGTCACGTGAGTACAGCTTCCTATCAATTCTTTCTCAAAGAACTGATGTCAAGATCGAATCTTGACTTCCCCCACAACTGGAGATCGAACTGGATGTCTGGCGGTTGCATGAAGGAGGCGGCAAGAAAGATCTTTGCAGGGATTGCAGAAATCTTTCTTCTGTGTTTTCAGCTCTGAAGAGGGTGTGAGTATATCTTCTCTAAAGGCTGCCGCCCCCTTCCTTCCTTGTAACCCCAAAGGATCAGCTCCTAATCCAATTAGGAGTTGCTGATCCAAATCTTATTTGGATCAAAACATCTCTTTAGGTGATAAGGATAAACCCTTATCTGCAAATTGGATCAACATTCTCCTAATCTT